CCCCCCCCCGACCCGCAAGACGAGCATTGAAGTTCGAGACTTCGCGAATGGTTGGACGAATGTCCAGCCATCCCGCTTTATCAGTTCCAATGCCTCACTGTTTCCCTATATCATACGGCCATACGAAACGCACGTGACAGATGGCAGCCAGGCAAGCCCAGCAGGAGGCGAGGGGAAATGTTACAGCAATCATGGAGTCACTCCAAGACCAGGCGCAGAGGCTGGGGGAGCGCAACGGTGAGGATGGGGAGAGGGCGGAAAAGCAACTGGAGGTAGCCCGCCAGACGAAGGATATCCTGGAAGCGCAAGCACGGGATTCTGCAGCCAGAGAGAAGGCTAGGGACGCGAGGACGGAGCATTATCGGCAACAGAGGTTGGCTGCTGAAGCCGACCGCGCGAAGAAGCAAGATGCGCAGGTACATGTTGCCATAGTTCGGCTCCAGTACTCGTTCCGAACGACGCTAAGGGTTGCGTTGGTGACTCGCATCATGCGTGGGGTCGTTGGTTCCTCACAAAAAAGGTTGGGCGCCACGCAATTTCCGAGTTTGGGGTTTATGTAGCAGAGGACATGACCCGCGATATGCATTACCCCTAACCCAGTTGATTGAAAAGCGTAGGCAAGCCTGTACGCTCGGTGGGCTGAGTGCACGCATATCCCCGGAGTTGTCTCCCGCATTCGGGCCCACATAACGTGGTTTGATTATCCTTGTCGCTTCCACATCTCACATGCATATTGTNTAGGCAAGCCTGTACGCTCGGTGGGCTGAGTGCACGCATATCCCCGGAGTTGTCTCCCGCATTCGGGCCCACATAACGTGGTTTGATTATCCTTGTCGCTTCCACATCTCACGTGCATATTGTCTTCTTGGTTCGATGTACTGGCCCCCGCCTTTGCTTGGATCGCACGGTCTGCAACCCGTTTGAGAAACAGCACGAGGAATTGCTGGACTTCATGTCGTCCACGTTCCGGACTCCTGCAGGAGACGTTGTCATCCAATGGGACTCTTATGAAGAATTTTGGGAGTGTCTGCCTAATATCCCAGACGCGGCGAAGAGTCTCGTGACCGACGCGCTGCCCACCTTGACGGAGCTGGTGGACTTGGCCAAGGATAAAAATTTCGCGGCTACCTTGAAGGAAGCAGGAGTACAGACGATTCCCGCCACCCGGATTGCCAACTTTATCCAAAAGACTATCTATGACGCAAAGTAGTTTTTTGTTCTGTCCTTTCTCAAACATGTGGCGCCTGCTTGCGGTTTCGGCGGTAGCGTAGTGTTGCTTGAGTTACGGTGTTTGGTGATGGTTTTCAGGGACGGGGATAAGAAGTTCGCGGTTTTGGGTGGGGAGTATGGGGACCGGGCTGTTTCTCGAACCCAGGATGAGGTGGCTCTCGCGTAGTACTTGGCATTCTTGCGCGGTTTACACGAGTTCTCGGCGTGTATCAACACGCGTATGTATACATTATTGTGACGGGGGTTGGGGGGTTCCGGGAACGGAGAGAGGGGACCACATTGTGCTCTCTTTTTTTTTTAATATTGTGTCACATTTTCTAGCGAGGCAGCTCTTGAACCCCAACGATCCTCATAGAAGGGGTAGTTCGACTTGGAGGAAGTGGCCTCGATAGCAGGAGAGTTTTTCATGTCGATACTTGCCAAATTTTGTGTCCACGTAAACTGTGATCGCGAGTCCGATACCCCCGGCCCCATAACACGAACGTATGAAGCACTTTTTGGGGGGTTGTAAGCTTGTGACATAGACTGCTTCGGCAGGCGAAATCCGTCTCAACATGCGTGGTTCGTGCTTTGTTGCGAAGTTCGCATCACTCCGAAGGTGCATTATTCCGAAGGCTGTGTTTCGGTCGCGGTACTTTTACAAGGAATTAAAAAAAAAAAAACTTGAGACCGGAGGTGCTTTGGCGATGTGTACGTAGTTCCTTTGTCATTGCTCACCAGCCACTTTGCCTTGTGAAGGCACAAGCTTTTCAGAAGGTGAATGTTTGAGGAAGGCCCTCTTGAGATGATAGTTTCCGACGCAACGGTACGAAACAAGTCGCAGCACTTGGAACAAACAAATATCGGACCGGCCGCCGAACTTACCTCTGATGCTTTCTCTGTCAATCGATGGCGCGTCCCTAGGAGACGGGACCTCCCACACACAACACGTTGCTACTGCGAAGTCCTGATGTGATAACACCAGCCCCAACCACAACGGACATCAAGTCAACGGACCACACAACGAATCAAACTCGACCTTTGTAGGCACGTCTCGCTGCACGCCCGCCTCTCGTAACTGTCCCCCCGCGCTCGAAAATATCGGCACGTGGAATAGCATACACATAAAACACTGCGGGGTCACGCCAGCCGGCGTCCGACCCCATTCGCCCGTCATGTAGATTTCCTACAACATGTCGGTGAAAAACAACCACGACCGGCGCTATGCTCGCCTGTTAGATTTCAAGCGCCCAAATGCTATCCCAACACTGCTGCAGATGCTGAGCGGTTCCTTCATTCGCGACGCCATACACATAGTTCTCTCCCTCGTTGTGGACAAGATAGCTTTTCGGGTCCTCGTAGTCCCAGTAGAGGTGGATTCCGAGCTTCACCTCCCAGGCCTCCTTCACGCGTCCAGTCCACTCCGGGCTGCGCGGATACCTGTCACGAACCCTCATGATCCGAGCTGTGAGCCTAGCGCACACGTCGAAGACGTCTTTCTCGAAGTCCCGTCGGTGCCTAAAAGCCTTGCCATTGCCCACTGCCTTCCACTTCTTAATCTTGCCTATGGTGTTCTCTGCCACGACCCTGAAACGGCGCTGCTCTGTGTTGAACCGCCTCTCTTCATTAGAAAGATCCCCTGCTGCGGCTTCCTGTAGGGTACGCACATGGGCAAGTCGCTGTCTGCTCGCGCGTTCCCTAGGTAAGCACCGTCCCCCATACCGACCTCGTCGGCTGACAGGAACTCCTCAGGATGAGTGTACACTCTAGAAGCGACATGTGCTCCCCTGTCCGATTGCGCTCCAGCCACCGTCTCTATCTGCACAACGTTTTCACACCCGCCGGGACACCAGGGGGGCAAAGGTGGCGGGTTCCTTGTCATGTGCTCCACTATTTGTACCAAAGGTAGAAGAACTCTTCACCACAGACAATACGGCAATCTACATACGAATCAGCCTATGTAGTAAATGTCAATCTTCGTCTGGGTGCTTGACGCATTGCACGGCCAAAGGTTTGTCCCGAAACTCACGTCACCGAGGGTACTTTGCCGGCTCATATCGGTATGTCAAGTAGAACGCCCCCCCCACCCCCCATTCCGACTAACTTTTTGTTAGCACTTCAATGAAATACAGTGTGAACTTATCGCGCACAGCAGACTCTCCTTACACAACTCCTTCACGCGCTGACAGGGAGCGTGTACGCGTCAGGATTCCCTAGACATTGCGGTGGGCTCGTGACGGACTAGTGCTGGTGTCGAGCGTCGGCCTGTTTCCGCTGACGGTTCTGCAGTAACACGAGGTAGACGCATGGCTCTAATCCTGAACGTCTTCCCTCGAGTCATGCCAAACATCACTTCCCACTCCGAATTCTTCAGCGTATCATGAGTCAAGTTGGTGTTTTGTAGAATACAACTGCAAATCAATGCATGTACTCACCTCTTGCAGACAAGGCATGTTCTGCGCGGCCGCCGTCGTGTCCTTGAACTCGTTGTGATACGTCCCAGCACACCGTCCATATGCGAGGGCCATGTCCTCGAACAAAGTGTCCCTCCTGAGCATCTCCAGCCAGCACAAAACTCGGTCTCTGTCATCCATGCTCCCCCGGATGACCCGCCTGGCCTTGTTGTCCTCCGCCGAGTAGTTTCCGACGTGGTTCCGAGCTTGCCCAAACAGGCATGAGCGAGCGAGGCGGTTTCCCTCAGCATCCAGGAACGTGTCTTCGTAAAAGGCGTCGAACTCGTCCTTCTCCATCCCTGTTTTGTAACGAATCTGGCTGCTACTGTGGGCATCATAGATCCCACCCTCCTCGCTAGGGAACCTGAAGGGGCAGACGTGCGCGACTGGCAGTGTCGTTCGCGGTGCTGTTACCCCTCCCTGCCAATGCGAGGGAGTAGGGGTCCGAGCTTCTTCAGAGAATGCCGATAGGTTAAACCCCTACGCATATCCTCCTCCAACTCGTCAGCATCACGACTGTCCACCACAGCAGGCGGGCGCATCATCGCCGCCGCGGTGGAAGCTTCGAACTGGGTTTTGTTGCTTGTACGCCTTGATTGTTCTTCCTTTTCATCCTCTACGTCGTCGTCATCGCCGAGAGCTGCGGCGGTGGAGAAGTTGGTGCTTTTCTTCCGCTGGTACATCAAGACAGCTAACTTTCTTTTCCGCGGGTCAAGGGTCAGCATGGTTGACCTTGCGTCGGCCGCAGCAGGCAGAGCTCGGGCGATCAAAACATGTAGCAGCAGCAAGGCTGCACCGAGGGCCTTCGTGCCAGTGTGTGGGTAGAAAGGAGACAGCACCTTACGACACCGGAGATCTCGTCCCAAGCCTACAGTCCCTTGTGGGAGACCGCGGTCCGCAGTTTTTTCGTGATCGGCTGAGTTTTTTTTTTTTCTTAATATGACACAACGAGTCCATCTCTATAATAGAAAAGAGTCAGAGACAGATTAACAATGGAATCATAGCGTCAGAGAAAACGACCTGTGTGTCTACAATTTCCCAGACAGCATATAGGCACAGGGCCCATAGGCAGGGCCAAAAAAGTGAAAAACGACGCAATTTTATTGGTCAACAGCACATCCCGAGATGAAAAACGACCCCGAGACCATGAAAAACGACGACCTGTGATTGG